TTATGCTATTGATCAATATAATTACACTCACAATGGTACCGCCCCTGCACTCGTCGTTTACGCTATATAATACAGATATATACAAATGGTCGCTCCCGCGCATCGGCGGGCGTATTTATAATACGTTTACATATATGTATGTATAAATTACAGTCGCTATATACATCGAGAGATTATGCGGCGCGTTAATACCATCGGGGTGGCGGAAAGTTTCCTATTATCGCTTGTGCTTAATCTATGATAAACCATCGTCGTCGTCGTCGTACCTGCTCAACGCGCGCTTTCTTCGACTTTCTATGTGCAGCACACGTACAGCCAGACGCGAGGCATTGCACGATCGATCGATCTTGTATACACAGTGTCCGCTCTCGACGGGTTTCTTGTGCAGAAATCATGCATGAACGAGCTCAAACGAATCAATCAAGATTTCCACAAATCAAACGAACTTAAACAATCAGAATTTGTACCCAAAAATCGAATTATATCTTTAAAAAAATTGCAATGTAAAGTCTTAATGATCTTGTCATGTGCGTTAAACTTTTTGACATGCGTATAATGAGAGAAACTAAATATTTATTTATTTTAATTTATTTAACAAAAACTGCCCTCTGTTTAATTAGAGGAGAATCATATATCGATCGGATTTTTGTACGATTTCTTTCGACACGATTCGTACCAACTGCGACGAACCCGCAGGCATAATGTAACTCCGCAAGTCAATCGATCAAACGACTTCAGGTTGGCTCGTTTCTTTTTTTTTTCCTTACGCTTTCGTAGAGTCGCATGTACGCACTTACATGTCGTCGTATAAAAGATGGGCCAGTTCCCCTTTTTCCGCCCGTCGTGCGGTCCCCGTCCAACCGGAGCTTCTTCCCGCATTTCTCATGTCAGATAGAAAAAGGGTTGCATGCGTGATTTATGCCCGAGACTTTTCCCCCGGTCGCACCGGCTGCGCCGTGTTCCTGCACATTGTACTATACGTACCGATGCAGAACCAATCGTGTCGTATCTCGGTTATATCGGTAGTCTGCGCCTGTATCGTTGTATATCGTTCCAGACGTGGCGGCCGGAAGAAACTTACGACGTGGCGGGGGGGGGGGGTGGCATCGGGGGGGCAAGAAACTTGTACGGTGCCCAGACAGTGCTATCTCGTTTCGATACTGCGAAAACGCCCGATAAGAATTAACCGTGCAGCGCGGGCGCGATCCGCGAGAGCGAATCTCCTTTTACCGCTCCGAGATTATTAACGTTTCTCGCTGCTGACGAGAATAATTCGAAATTACGACCATGTCCAATCTGACTCCTAGGAGGTAGATAATGGCATCCGGTTCTGCTCGAACTAGTTCTAGCGGATCGGCCAGCACTAGATGCCATTATTTACGTCTTCGAGGGGTACCCCAAGGGGTCTTTGTACGTTAGAGGCTCTCAAAGGCCCGGACGATCTGCACGCATTGTCTTCAGCGCTCGCCATTCTCACCGTTAAGTTGCTTTCGATTAGATCGCAGCATAGTAAATTATGACAGAATTTTTCTTTTTGATTTCAGAGTAATTTAATTGAGAAAAACTTGTGACGGGTTTTAAACGCGTGTGCGGAAAAAAATAAAAATAAAAAAAAAATATATATATATATATATTAAAGAGAATGTTAAAGTATGAAGTAAAAGAATATAAAAAGATATTTATGAGAAGTTAAAAAAGTTTACGGATGGTTAATAACTGCGTTGTAACGGTAAGATACTAACTGATACGCATTGTCAGTTGTTGCGGTTTTGCAGCGTACGAGAGATATAAGATATCGTACGAAGCACGCTGTGAGCAGGTACGAAAGTGTCTTCTTTCGTCATCTTTATCGTTCTCTTCGTCGGGGAGGAGGTCTCCCTTAACTCGCGCAACTTTCTTTCCTTTTTTTTGTAGAAACTAACTTTCCGCTATCTCGTTATCTTTCTCTCGCTCTTATAGATTACTGACTTAACTCATCTCCGACGTGCGTCGAGCACACGTGCACGCTCAGCGCTCGCTTGAGACAAATTGACGATTATTGCCAGAAGCGGACTGTTAGCGGCTGGAAGTGCGGGAGGTTTCAAGGTACTTGAATTTTCCGTGTCGCGGTAACGATAGCTCGGTCGAATCGATCACGGCGCCGCTGAGCGAGAAAATTATCGGGAGCCGTCGACGAAGAGGAAACTCGGCGAAACACGAACGCGCCGATGTTACGCCTTGAAACACGGCGAAATCGTAGATCGAGCTCTCGCGGACCTTGAAGGCGACTCGGACTATTTCGTCGTTCGTCCGCTGTACGCCCTATTACGATAACGATAACCGCTTGTACGTGATATCTCTCTCTCTCTTTCTCCCGCCCCCCTTAAAAGACGATGATTATTATTGCGACGAAATTATTTGCTCGGTGCCCCTCAACTTAAGGCGCTTGAAGAAAGTGTGTGTGTTTATGTGGTACGAGGTCCCTAACGGTTAATATTTACACTCGAGAAGCGTTCGAAGCTGTCATTCTTAGTTTTCTCTTTAATTTAATATCCTACGTGGCGACGATATCGATTAAACACTAAATATACATAGCAATGTACCCAATCGTTGTAGACGCTACGCGCCGCTCTTGCCGCGAAAGGGCGCGACCTGCGCGGGGGAGAGACGCTCGATTAAATTTCTCCTCGACGAGAGAGCCAGACTGTCTCGCGCTTAATCGAAAAAACGATACGCGCGAACGCCGCTCGTTCAGTTATTCGGGTAAAAATAGCGGAATGTCAATCAGCATCGCCGTTCCGGCCCCGGGACGCGCGCGTATCGCGAGAGCGTGTTTTTCCCGGGGAAGAGCGACGCCGGAGAGACTCGGTCAGTTGAAATGAGAGAAAAATTGAGCTTAATAGATTACGAGCGGTAATCGAGGAAAGTGCAGCGGTCAATGGACGACCGAATAATCGCACGGGAAACGCTATTTAAACGGCTCGCGGTAAAAGCGCCGAACGAGCCTTAAATTTCATGCCACGTTCCACGTCAGATATTTAAACCGGTAATAAATTTTGCAGCGCACACAGGTGCGCAGCCATCGCCGTTCTTCGACCTAGGAGGAGAGGGATGGGGGAGTCGCTGCACTTTACGGCTGCTCTTTCAGGACGAAATTCTAGAGAAGGAGCTCCACCGCGCAAGGCACGCTTAAGCATATAACGTGTCTATATATATGTGTTACACGCGAGAGCCGGGCTCTTTTTCGTTATATCACAATGTGGTCGAGGGTCTCT